ATCGGAAGGGGAGACGAACCATGGACTCTGAGAAACAAACTGAGGGTTCTAGAGGGGAGGGGTGTGGGGGAATGGGTTAGCCTGGTGATGGTTATTAAAGAGGGCACGTTCTGCATGGAGCACTGGGTGTTATATGCAAACAATGAATCATGGAACACTACATCAAAAACTAAGGATGTAATGTATGGTGATTAACATAAAATAATAAAAAAAATAAAAAATAGACGGAATTAGTTTACCTGATTCTAGACTTATTATAAAGCTACAAAAATCATGACTATATATTACCGGCAGAGGGACAGACACATAGATTAATAGAACAGAAAAGAGAAACCAGAAATAAGCCCACACAAATATGCCTAACTGATTTTTTTAAAGATTTTATTTATTTGAGAGAGAGAGAGCACACGTGCAAGTGGGGGAAGGAGCAGAGAGAGAGGAGCAAGCAGACTCTGTGCTCAGGGCAGAGCCTGGCAAGGGGCTCAATCCCATGACCCCAAGATCATGACCTGAGCTGAAATCAAGAGTCACACGCCAAACTGACTGAGCCACCCAGGCAGCCTAACGGATTTTTGATATAGGTGCAACTCAATGGAAGAAAGACAGCCTTTACAATTGTACATCTATAGAGAAAGGGGGGAAAAAAGAACATCAATCTAAATCTCACACCATTAAGGAAAATTAGGTAAAGGGTATATGGGATCTTTCTATATTATTTCTCAAAAATGCATATAAATCTACAATTATATCAAAATAGAAAATTTAATTTAAAAATTTTTAAAGAATTTAGTCAACTCTGTTCCTTGATATGGCTATGTATAGATGGATAGAGAAGTCTGGAAAGATGGTCACATTAACATTTAAAAAAAGGACAAATTCAGTGTTTATGACTCAAACCCTGCAGAATCAGCTCTTACCTGCAGCAAAGCTCCCATTAGTGATGCCAGTGCAGCCATTCCAATGCACAGAGCTCCAAACAGCACACCTAGATGGATGATGTAGAAGCCAGTGTAAAATTCAGACCCAGAGGATTAGAATTCTCAATAGAATAAGCTACCCACCTTTGATTCAAAGTAATTAATATGATTGTGGTGAAAAATGGCCACATACATCAGAGCCAGCCAAAAAAAAGGAAGGGGTGTTTTCCTACAGGATCAGCAGTGTGCAAAGGGGAAAGAAAACTCTGATATTGTGTCCTGGGATTAGTGACAACATTAGGTTATATAAATAAAAAAATCCCTAGCATTAACCATAGGGATTTTAAGGCTAAGAATTAGTGTGTCATCAATCTAATCCTCCATAAACATTTGTTTATAAAGGAAGGCTCAGGTCTCTGTTTTCAGTTTGCCAGAAACGGGACACAGTCCAGCTCTGCTCTGTATGACATGATGGGGGAGGGGAGTAATAAACTTCAGAAATTAGAGTCATCTGATTTGATGTACTCATTTCTCCTGGGAAGTTACAATCCACACCAAGGGGTGGTTTATGACCTTTAGCCCTTTTGTAATCTCCATCAACATCCCCAAGCCTTTCCTGTTAAATTACAAAGGAAGATAGTATCAAGCATGATATTACCCATTCTACAAATTGTTTTTCCAAACTTTATAGAAATTCTCAAGCCACCACAGCTGGTCAGATTACAAATTATAGAATTTTTTTTCTCTTTTGGCTTTCAGTACTTTCCAGATTTTCTCCAAATACATTTTTTTAATAATTCTTATGACTTGTTTGGTTAGTAATATTTTTTTATTATTTTATGTTAATCACCATACATTACATCCTTAGTTTTTGAAGTAATGTCCCATGAGTCATTGTTTGCATATAACACCCAGTGCTCCATTCAGTACGTGCCCTCTTTAATACCCATCACCAGGCTAACCCATCTCCCTACCCCCCTCCCCTCTAGAACCCTCAGTTTGTTTCTCAGAGTCCATAGTCTCTCATGGTTCGTCTCCCCCTCTGATTTCCCCCCTTCATTTCTCCAAATACATGTTTTACTTTTTAAACTATAGGAAAATTTATACACATGCCCCCAGATTTTTATTTTTGAAGATTTCCATTTAGCACAAATCACCTGAAATCAGTCAATATAATTTCCCACACATAAAAATCAAAACACAAAAAAAGGAATGATAAATTTGCTTATATAATTAGTGCATTCCTTATATCTATCTAATTTACACCAGCACTCACCCCTTTGTTAAGTATATTGGGTAAATAACCTTATTGCACCTGAATGGAAACCTTATATTAAATTTGTACATAGAGCTCATGTCGCAATGATTTTTTTTTTATGCCTCCAAATCCTAATGTAAATAGTATTTCCAACATATTTATCTTGAGTCTTCTCTATCTGATAGCTCATAAATGGTCACCACTGTGGGTTTTTGGTATTCAAAGTTGATGGAAACACATACAAATTATTTGCCATGTTCTTCTCTATGATGTCCTTACTGTACAGACCTCAAAATAATGACTTTATATAACCCTTCAAAGTAAATGAAAATCTCATCCACACTAGCAGAGTTAATTTGTTATTAATGATCATCAACATCCTTCCTTGAGCACCAGCTAGTGCTTCCTATTTTATATGTATTATATCTAAACCTCATAGTACCTGCAAGATGAATATTTTTTGTAACATTTTTCATACAAAAAATTCAAGCTGTATTGGGTTATTGGGTTTGTTTGAGATTAGTAAACTGGTAAAGCAAGACTTGGTCTGTCTGGCTTCAAAAGCTTCTATTTAAAACCATATAGCTTCAATAATCCTATAATGAATCAATCTAAATACTCTTTAGGAAGAATTGTATCATTCTGAAATTATGCTCCAGGATTAAAATTGGGCACATAATAAGATGATGCAATGTTATTTATATTCAAGGGACACTGAAGGATATAAATTAAGTATTCCAGGCTATCATTAAGACAATTACATATAGAATTGTGGTTCAAAATAGAATATTATTCACTGTTTCTTTGACAGTCTAGTGTTACTGGGTTGAAGTTAAACACTCTTTTTCAAAAACAAGTTTGTTAGTCATTCATTCCAGAACACATATAACCAAAATGTCAAACACAAAGAATGAAGTACACTAGCCAGATTTCTTTGAGTCAGATTGTTATATTTGGGATATCTGGGAACTGGGGTCTTTAAACCTTTCCATTCACCTGATATTTAACCCCTAATAAGGTCCTACAATCTATCAATAGAAGTTGAATATTCCTTGTACAATTTAATTGACTATCTCCAGGGCAGTCTACGTGTACAGATAGAACAGACAATAAAGATGGGTCAAAAACTACAACACTCTGTTTCTTTATCTTCAATTCATACATACAGACTATGTATTCTATTTTTTGGCTTAGGCTTTTTTTTATTTAATTTTTTAAATTTAAATTCAATTAGCCAACATATAGTACATCATTAGTTTCAGAGGTAGTGTTCAATAATTTATCAGTTGTGTGTAACACCCAGTGTTCTGTACTTTAAACTGACAGTGCCCTCTTATATAATAAAGAAGAAGTGTGGCTCTTGGCTCCAAACGAAGGGTATGTCTTAAAACTGTTGGCTAAAGTTTGAAAAGGAAAAGTGTTGAATTTTTTTCTGTGGCTAAGAATTTTAACATAGATTTGGGAAAGGAAGAAGTGAGAAAAGAAAGACAGCCAAATAAGGACCTCTGAAAAGATGTTCAACATCACTCATCATCAGGTAAACAAATCAAAACCACAATGGGATACCACCTCACACCTGTCAGAATGGCTAAAATCAACAACACAAGAAATAACAGGTGTTGGCAAGGATGCGGAGAAAGGGGAACCCTCCTACACTGTTGGTGGGAATGCAAGCTGGTGCAGCCACTCTGGAAAACAGTATAGAGATTCCTCAAGAAGCTGAAAATAGAGCTACCCTATGACCCAGCAATTGCACTTCTAGGTATTTACCCAAAGAATACAAAAATGCTGATTTGAAGGGATACACGCACCCCAATGTTTATAGCAGCATTGTCTATAATAGCTAAATTATGGAAATGGCCTAAGTGTTCATCAGCTGATGAATGGATAAAAAGGATGTGGTACATATATACAATGGAATATTACTCAGCCATAAAGAATGAAATCTTGTCATTTGTAATGACACGGATGGAGCTAGAGTATATAATGCTAAGTGAAATAAGTCAGTCAGAGAAAGACAAATACTATATGATTTCACTTGTATGTGGAATTTAACAAACAAAACAAATAAGCATGGGGGAAGGAAAGAGAGAGGCAAACCAAGAAACAGACTCTTAACTATAGAGAACAAGCTTTTGGTTACCAGAAGAGAGGTTGGTAGAGGGATGCATGAAGTAGGTGATGGCAATTAAGGAGTACACATGTTGTGATGAGCACCAAGTATTGTATGGTAGTGTTGAATCACTAAAACTAATATTACACTGTATGTTAATTAACTGGAATTTAAGTTAAAACTTAAAAAAAAAATAAGGACCCCTGAAAATTAATTGCTTGAAGTGTCTCTCAAATCTGGATCGCAAATATGGCATAACTGCATTTAGTCATAGGCATGCATATGTATATGTACATTTACACTTGAAGGTTCTTACTCTGTATCTTCCATGGAAAAGATTTCTGGTATTTCCAAAAAATAATCTCCTGGAGGTAAAAAGGAATTGTGAAAATGGAAACTCACTCATTCCTTGGGAAATCCAAGAGAGAGACCTTTCTGAGAGCGATCTGAAGTGAGGTTTAATTAGATCTTCCACAGTTACTGCTGCTAAAGCATTAATACTGGAGGACACTGTGCTGTAAGAGAAAAATCAATCTTTTGATTTATAATATTTTAACTTTAATAATACTTTAAGTAGGAATAAGAAAGGGTAAACAAACTGTCATTTCTGAAGTATAACTAGATTTCTACTATATTTTAATGATGACAACATCCTCTTTCTGGAAGCTGTTATCATCCAAGAATGATTCAGGTAACATCCATAGGCTTAATAGTGAGAAAACAATTTTATGTTGCTTCCGCTTTGCAATAAATCCTCAGTGTCTATGGAAAGAATCTACACAGACTACATAGTACTACTATATAATGACTTCTTTGTGCATAGAAAGGACTGTCATAAATCCTCACAAACATATGCCATTAATATCAATAATATTAATTTCCTGGATCCTTACTAACATACACTGTACATGTTAACAATAAGAATTCCCTGGCACAAACACTGGAAGAAGGTGCAATGAATAAGTTGAAACACAGAACAAGATTCTTTGGACAGTGTATATTATTCAGCACATAATAGGAGATTTTAATTATAATTTTCCATTTGACCATGCTTTAGCTATACATACATTTTAAACCAAGACTATAGGCACTCATTTTTGATAATCAGTGAGAACTACCATCAACTGATCATTATTATGGTGACCCTACGGAGTATGTAATGATGTATTACAGTATAGACCAAGTTAAAAGTGGAGACTGAGGATAATAGACTGATAATCCACATGGATAAAAGTGAGACCAACAGAGAGGATACATGGAGTAGATTACCCACTTTGGGCCATTTGTGCTCATGTCCAGAATTCAGCTTTATCCCCAAAAATATCCAATAACAAAAGAAAGATCCCAACAGGGAAACCATGTATTGTTAGAGTCATAGTTCATACCTTAATGTTCCACTGTAAGCACAGGCCACAAAAAGTCCAGGAAGTCCCGGAAAATCTTGCAGAATGTCCAGTACCAAATAAGGCATTAGCTGAAAAATTCCAAAATTGACTTCTGAGTGCTATTTGCTATCAAATAAAATTAATTAATGCCTCATTTATCTTGTGTTCTTTAAGAACTAAAGGAACCTATTCCATATAATTGAAATTTCCGAATATGAAAAATCAAACTCTTTTATTGCTAACACTTAATAGCAGAGTAGTTAAGGATACAGGGTCTGGATTCAGACAGAAGTGGTTTTTGTTACTTCTCTAAAACTCAGTTCCCTCATCTGTAAAGTAGGGATAATAATACTAACCTCACAGACTTGCTATAAAAGTTAAATTACATCATCTATGTAAAGTTTTAATATAGTACATGGGATATCGGAAATGCTTGATAAAAGGCAGCTGTTCTCGTTCTTTGGAATAATAAATCAATTTAAAGGAAATATTGTACACACCTCTATGCTTATGTAATAAGAAGCATTCACTTAACTTTACTTGATGATTCAAAGTTCACCTTTGAGAACGTTAATCACTACCCAGGACTGGAAGTGTAATTATAGTTGCATATAGTATGAGACATAGTGACAAGTGGAGAGTAACCTTGGGAAGTTCCTGAAACTTGCTTCTTTTTAAAAAGTTCCTGATACCAACTTACCTTTTGATAAGTTACTTTTTAAAAAATAAATATTAAATAAGGATGGGAAGGTGTATTACTTCCGTACTATGTCACATGACAGTCTTTTGGCAAAACTGATTTTTAAATCAAAAGGGTCCTAAGAGGATAATTTTCTAGAAAAAGTCCCCTCACTTGCACTGAAACAGCCTCAAGTCCTTCTCCGATAGTATAGAGTGGATGTCATGTCCTCTCTTATCAGCCTCTTCTGATTTCATTTGACAATAGTTTGTTATGGGATGTTGAAGAACATCCTCCACTGTGGCAAGGATCTGTGTTGAGTTGTTTTAAGAATGTCTCCACTTTATCCAAAGCTTACTAATTTTTTATTCTCAGAAAGAGAGAATAGAACTTATTTCTATATGAAATCAAGTTCCAGTTTTCCCAAGTTATCTTAAAAGTGTAACTTCAAACAGTATTCCATACATAAGCAAAAGTCAAAGTTTCCGTCGTTACTGTGATAACAAGATCTAAAATCCTCTACCATAACATCAACTTTCTCAAAAGTCTTTGGTGTGATATTTCATATTCTGAGTGGCCCCCTCAGGTATAGGTAGAACCAGCAAGGTGAGACTGATAGATAGAAAAATAGTAAAACTCCATCTAGACACTAATCTTGCTTCCTCAGGGTGAGCTCCAGCAGTGTTGCACAAATATATCTTTGCTCTCCTTGGGTTAAGATTTTGACCTGACTTTCTACTACTGTGCCTTATGTGCATTGTATCCCTAGGGAAATGTTAATTGAATTAACTCCTCAATAATCAACATAATACCAGAAGCATCCAATTAGGAGGAAACCTCTTTCTTTTTAAAAAATTTAGCACAGGCTCTCTAAAGGTGCGTGCATGCAAGACCCCAGTGAATGCGTTCTATGACAAGAAGTCTCAAGGATAGGAAGTTGTAGATATTTTTTGTTGTTGTCTAGGGATCGGGGAAGATATATGAGAAACATTTTTAACATCCCTATTATCTTCATGATATAAACTACAGACAAAATATTCCTCACTAAAAAGAATATAAGGAAAGAGTGCCTCCATCTTCAGAGTAAACATGATTATTAGATTCTCTGAGCAAATAGGAAAGATCTATTTATTAACAGGAGGACACATGTGAATACAGGGTTAGGATGCACAGCTCAAGGAGGTTCTCATTTTCTAACCCCACAAAGTTGCTTTTTTTTCCAGGAGTATGTGATGCATTTATGTCAGGATACATTTCAATCTATCTTCAATCTAATGAGTACCCTGGGCACTTAATTTACAAGCCAGTCTTAGAACATAATTTTGGCAAGAACTCAAGCTTCGGAGTCTAACATTGAATTCTAGCTATACTTTCTGAAAGGTGGTATATGGCATAGAGGTTCAAAGTTAGGACTCTGGGGGCGCCTGAGTGGCTCAGTCGTTAAGCGTCTGCCTTTGGCTGAGGTCATGATCCCAGGGTCCTGGAATCGAGCCCCGCATCGGGCTCCCTGCTCCACAGGAAGCCTGCTTCTCCCTCTCCCACTCCCCCTGCTTGTGTTCCCTCTTTCGCTGTGTCTCTCTCTGTCAAATAAATAAATAAAATCTTTTTAAAAAACCCAAAAAACAAAGTTAAGACTCCAGTGGCAGACTCCCTGTGCTTGAATTCTGGTTCTAGGTTTACTAGCTATTACACAGTTTGTCTGTGCCTCAGTTTCCTCATCTTTGAAAGGGAGATAATTATAGCACCTACCTCAGTGTGTAGCTGTAGGGATTCAAAGTTGAAGTTTATATAAAGCACTTATGACAGTATGATGAATTCTTGCGGCCATACTTATTTATCAGCTATGTGACCTTGAGCAAGTAATATAACCTCTCTGCAAGTCACTCATTTCCTCATCTCTAAAATTAGAATTACCAGGTTACGAGAATTAAAAGAGATAAAGCACACAAAGCTCTGGGCACAGAATCTCACCACATAGTTGGTACTCAATAAATGTTCACTCATTAGATCTGTTTCTCTATCATTTAAAAACTGGAAGGTAGGGATGCCTGGGTGGCTCAGTCGGTTAAGCGTCTGCCTTCGGCTCAGGTCATGATCCCAGTGTCCTGGGATCGAGTCCCGCATCGGGCTCCCTGCTCCGCGGGGACCCTGCTTCTCCCTCTGCCTCTGCCTCTCTCTCTCTCTCTGTCTCTCATGAATAAATAAATAAAATCTTAAAGAAAAAAAAAAACTGGAAGGTAAGCTGTTGATAAAAAAGTGATCTAAGAATACCCACAAAATATTTTACACTACCATGGTTTACATATGTTTTTTTTTTTCTTTAACCGTGTTTACATTTCTACTCCCAGTCTTGACCTAATTCTATTTAACAATTGGCTTGAAATTTTCCAGGTATTTCAGTATTTTAATCTTGGATACAGCATTCTTCATTCTTGCTATATCTGCTAAAATAAATTTTGCCAAATGCTTTCAAGAAATTAAAGATGATTATATTGTTCTCATTTGCTGTTTCTCTACAAAAACATGAATACTCTTTCCTCCCAACTAATCAGCTTTCTGGATAACATTAATGCACATGTAAGAAAGACATGGTACTGAACCTGGTCTGGTGCAGACACTTTCTTGGCTGTCCAAGGATCACAGTCACGGTACCTGGAATATAGGGCAAGCCCACATAACACTGAGCAGGCGAGGATTGCCCAGAGCCCCAGAAGATTGATGTAGAGAGACCTAAGGAAGTGAAAACAAACCAGCAAATGTCAATTGTAATTTCCATCCCAAAGATTAGGAAACTTGTTACACAAACAGAAGAGACCTTCATGATTACTCAATAAATGCACATTATCTTTTGGTTATCAAAAATGCTATCTGTTTTATTCTAGACTAACCGTCTGCTTATGCTGTCAATCAACACTGTATTTGGAAATACTTGGAATAGATGGGGGATTCTCTATTGAGTAAATGTATCCTCCTGGTCAGAGTTCCATGGGCATTGTCAGCTTTATAATGGTATCCAATTATACTACTTCAGGTCTTCTTGTCATGAAATAAGGATTTTTTAATGGTCAACAGAGCAGTAACTATTATTCATTTTGCTTTTAAAAATAATGCAGTTATAGACTGCTAAACATTGCTAGCATCTACACAGAAACTCATTAAACTTGTTTAAATGTGGTTTGTAATATCACCTAATAAGTATGAGAGGCAAACCTGCATTCCTTGAACAGGTCTCTTCCCAAACAATGTTCAGCATCATAATACATGGTGTGTGCTCCAGGAGATTGTAAAGGTTTGTATAATAGCACTGGAGTCAGACCTGAACATAAATCTTGGTTCCATCTACCATATGTGACCCCGGGCAAGTAATTTAGCTTATCTGATCTTCAGCTTCTTCATGTACACCTATAGATAATGATGCCTACCTCGCAGAATTTTAAGATTAAGTGAAATAGTATGTATCATATACACAGTGCTTGGCATGTAATAACATTTGTTAAATGGTAATTATTGACATTATGAGTGCTAATGGCATTGAGTTCTATGTCTTAATAATCAGTTGAATAGTAAACATTGTTCTCACTAAGGTGTCTACATTTTTTTCCCAGGAGTGCTGTAATGGATATTGTAACAAGCTGCCCTAGGCTGAAGAGAGGTACAATCCCCAATGTCATGCCTCCTTCTTTGGGGCACCTGTGTCCAATGACTACTGGATTCAGAATCTTAAAACCCAGTCTCCTTACCCTAACCTGGGACAAAACTGGAGTCAGTTCAGCATTAGGGCTTCCCCTAAGGCCTTGGCTGAGAATGCATTACAATCCAACTTCTCTCTCGGGCCAATTCTGCTTCCTTCTCTTCTCTTTCTTCTACAGGTGGTGATTCCCTCACAGACTCTGGAATGCCAACCTCCATCTCAGAGTCTGTTTCAGGATAACTCACCTTCAACAGCTACCAAACAACAGATTGCTAGCCTTTTCCCTTGATTGACTAAGTTTACTGTATGTTTTGCTATTGACTAAAAATAGTATAAGTAACTACAGCTCATCTCCAAATCATCAGAAAACATACCCAGACACTTTCCTGCTCAAATACCCTTGTTCATATATGAGGTTAATACTTTATTATATAGTTTTATTTAACTTTAGTGCCACTCAAATAGATCACTTATCAATAACATCTGATACTGTCCCCAGTCAATCAATGTCAGTAGGTCTTAACTCTTTGACTGGGATTCATTCTTCCTATGGAGCCAGTGTTAAAAAGTAGGAGAAAATGGTTCCTCTCAGCGCAGGGAGTCTGCTGAGGGCCATTCCAAAGGAAATTGCTTCTTATTAAGAAAGCTCTAAAGCTCTAATGTTGGTCTCTTAGTTATAAAATTGGGCCCTTTGAGTTTCATGTTCCCAAAGAAACAGAAGAGCATATGCACAATTAATTTTGGAGAAGCATCAGCTCTAATATAGATTTAAAGTCCAGTGGATTATTGGATGGATAAATTACATTCCTTCAAAGTTCCTTAAAATACCAGAACTCCTAAGCTCACTTGGGGATTCTATATCCAGTTACTGTGCTGATATTTGTGTAGATCTTTTACTATGGAATTTTCCAAAGACAGATAATGTCTATTTACTCTCAATATATTGAGTCAATTTACTCTCAATATATTGAGTTTTAACATGTGACATCACAATATTTTCATGTTCTTCTTTGAATAGAAATAGAATTGCCATTCCTTGTCCTACTCCAATCACCCTGTTACTCTTAATCTATTTATAATTTTTAAGTTCCTAAATGCATGTGCGTCCAGTCAGCTTTATTTATCAGCATAGGGAGTGGTGGTCACCACACTGATCTGAGGCCTCCTGAGAAAGAACCAGCCACCACTCATACTCTTTCCTCAAGCCAAGATGGGCTTGACCATGTCATCCTTCTGATCTCTGGGCTGTGTCCATATCAATGTATATCTGGAATTCTTTCCCACTATTCTCCACCTGCCCACATATGGTCATTATTCAGGATCTGCTTGGTTGATAGGAATCTCTCACCCATTTTCTGCCTTCTCGTCCTATGATTTGAGGTCACATTTATTGGATCCCTACCAAGTATTTGCGAAGCATAATATTTTACAATACCTCTCATGAGATATATAATATTTCTTATGCTCAATTTATAAGTTTAGAAACTGAGATTCAGGGAGACTAAGTCACTAGCCCATTCAAATAGCAGGTATTAGAGCAGAGTTATAAACCCATGACTGTGTCTGAAAATAAAATATACCAGCACATCTGGCAATATAATGTCCTTGACCATTTATTCTATCATTATATTGTTCCATGGGACTGTCATACCTTTCTAGTGTTATTTCACTTTTTGCATACTTGTATATATTTTCCTAACTAGATGTTAAGTCCCTTCATTATAAGAGCCATATAATTCTAATTTTTATCCTCCATAACTCCTTATACAAATAGATACACAATAAACGCCTTTTTATTTAATAAGATTTATTTTACTTAATAAATCATATAAATATTTCAAATATCTGATTTAAAATATAAGTACCACTTTGTTTTACTTGATCCTTTTATAACTAAGTATATCATTTATTTCTTGGAATTTCATGATGCAAAAGGCTTAAACCTGAACAAAGCTTGACTAATTAACAAGTTTCAATAAAGACAACTGATGGTTATTAATGATTTCCATACCATAGTTTGGCTTACATTTTTGCCTGGAATCTGCTTTTACAGGAAATATATCTCTGCACTTGGGATTGGTTGACACCATAGATGCTGGTCCATGTAAAGGTCCCTCCTATAATAATTGTCCAGAATGTATGTCTTTGCAAAGGATTGGGATCAAAACTAAATGAAAAGAAACAGAAAACAAATTTTAACTATCAGCAAAAAACTACAGAAAATTCTCCTAGAATATTTTTTGGAAGCAAGCAATGTATATCTATGTAAATATGCATACAGATATAAATATGTACAAATTTATTAAATAATAAAAAAGGCAGAAATATTCCTAACTTAAGTTCAATGAAATAAAATTGGATATTTTCAGAGAATTGGAAATTCTGGATGGGATTGAAGAAAAATGAATGCTCTAATTATTCTGAGCTTTCATAAAAATTGTTCTCCTGTGGCCTTAGGAAACTGTTATTTAAACAAGTCTGCTATGCTGAAATCAGAGAAGAGCATGAAACTAAAAAGAGAGAGAGCAATAAAGACAGTAAAGTTCCTAAGTGCATCAGAGCAATAGATATGGTACTGAAATGAACACAAAATTGACACATTTTGCATATATAATTTCTCTCCTAGCACATGTACAGTCATATTTCTAATTTATATTCAAGTTCAAGAACTCAGTCAATTAATGCAATTTAAAGGCTTTCATCTTCTAAAATTACCATGTCATTATAATCATGCTTTCTTAAAATGCTGTGTGCACAAGTTAAATGCTAATAGTGAAAAGTCACTTTATGACATGTACTTAAATCCAAAATATTGCTACAAAGAAAGTTCAACTTCTGTATTTAATATTTCTTTGACTCTTCTTAATGCATTATCTTGGAAGGAATGATTCTGTTCATCCATGATGAGTTTGACAAATTTCTGCAAAATTGGCTTTCATAGAAACTTTCTAAAAATTATGAAATTCTGCAAATCCATTTCAATCTTATATTTAAGATTAGTTGAGTAAAGTGTTCTGATTTCATGTATATCCCAGCATTCCTATGGAAATATAAGAGCCTCTATTCTATTCTTTAACACTTCATATCAAAGTTTAAGTGTTTCAAGGGTGTTGACCATTTAACCCATAGAGAAAACAGCTACTATATTAGCTAATGGAAATCAAGAGACAAAAGGATTCAGGAATCTACTCGAGGGAAGTAAGACAAGATTTAGAACACCCAATTTAGTGGTTTTAGGCCATACAGAATATATAAGACAACTATAGACCATACAGAAAATACCAACACAAAATCCTTCTCTTGGTTTATCACCACCAGAGCAGATATTTTGCCCACCATATTCTCAAACATATCAGACTCACAAGGAATATACAATGGGGCTTTTCATTATTATTTAATGGTTGGCAGCCTCCAAAGTAAAAGTCACAAAAGTGTCTAATCTTTTACTTTTAGGAATCTCTTATTGGTGTACAAGTTGTCACTTCAGTGCAGCAATATGGATTGCCTTTGTACAAAGTGACAGTTATCTTGCAGAAAAATGATTGGTTCCATACCCCCTCCCTTCAATCTCGCCTACTAGGAAATTTAGGAGTAATCAAGATCTTCTGAGTGGCCACTGGTTGTTTCTGCTTCTTGGTATCCATTCTCCTGTCCTCTAGTAACAGCAACCCAATTTACTTTGGGGAAAAGACCATTTCACCATAAAATAGTCTAAATGGTTGTCAATAAAATGTCTTGCTCCACCCCTACTAAGGGATGGAATAATGCCCAAGCTAGGACAACTGGAGGTGCTCTTCCTTGGAATCCTGAGGTTAAAAAAAAAAAGATTATTGAAAATAGTTGAAGTTGATTCATCATAATTCAACTTTCTCTGCAAATTAACACATTGTCCCAGTCCAATTTCTGAAAAGGCTCTTCTCAAACATTAGCACCATTTTCAGAAAACTAGAAGAGAGTCACCAAGTAAGAAATTTTTTTTCTTTCTCCTTGCCAATGATTTCGGCTTGCCTGTCTCAAAGTAGGACTGCTTAAAGAGGAAATAAGCCAGTCCATGTCAAAATGAGCCCCTCCCCATATTGAACATGATAACAAGAATGACACTACTGATCCACAGTAGAAGGTGTTTTAAATATTCTTCTAAGGGAGAAGGAAAGATGGCGGAGGAGTAGGGGACCCTATTTCAACTGGTCCCCGGAATTGAGCTGGATATCTACCAGACCACTCTGAGCACCCACGAAACCAGCCTGAAATGTAAGAAGATCTGGATCTCTACAAACAGAATATCGCAGGCGGTTGGTTTTGAGTTACGAAGCGGGGAGTCCTGATTCCGCAGGCAGATATCTGAGGATAAACGGCAGTGGGAAGGTGCCTGGCCGTGGGGATCCTACACCGCCAGTGAGTGACAGCCTCGCACGCTGCGGACAGGACACAGACTTGCAGACCCGTAGCGCGGGGAAAGGACTTTAGGGCAGCCCCCGGGGCAGAAACCCGGACTGGCGGGGTCACGCATGCGTGAACTGGGAGCGGCTGGCGGTTTTAGAAGCACAAAGGGCAGAGACATGCTCCGGCCTGGAGGCAGGACTGGGGGTGCTGTGGAGGGGCGAACAACCCAAGCCGCTGCAGTTTATAGCAGCATGGACAAAAACAGAGACAGTGTGGCCTGGAGAGCTCACTGAAGAACAGACTGCGATCTCTCTGCTCTGAGGCAGAAGGTTGGAAACGGTCTCTTCTGCTCTGACTCGTGGAAGAGA